GGGTTACTTGGTCATATTTTATTTCTTAGAATGAAATGTTTGTCTGATTGTGCCTCTTGAAAACCCATGTACTTCAATGGGATTACATAAGTAATAAAACAAAAGAGTTTGTGGTCCTTAAAGTCACACTAACTGACATAAAACTTGTACTCACTTAAGCTTAGTGTGATGGATAGAGAAGAGCATGTAAGGAAGTCTAAATGGGTTGAGGTTGGTGCAATCACATGCCAGAGGCCAAAATGATAGTTTGTGGGCTTTGTTGCATAGGGCACTTGGGATGTGTCAATTGCACATGAAATGTGTGCGTCTAATGTGCATGTTAAAGTACAATCATATAGCAGCAAAGTTAGAATTTTTTGTGAAAGAAATATGTCCAGTTCATATTAAGTAATGCACATTTAGCTATCATCAGACTTCTCCACAGAGATGTCACCCTGCCGTAACATCTGCCAAGGACTCCTCTGATGTATTCCATTCTTGGTCAGTTTCAAGAGTCCAGTTTGGTGTGGAGGCTGGGACCAATAATCAACTGATTGTTACCAGGCTTTAATTTTGGGGAAAGGACAGTTGTAAGATCTAGGCTCAGTTAAAGTTGTGTGCACTGCAACCAAGGACTTTCTCAATCCTGACCATCAGTATCATGATCACTGGCCTGTATGCTGTAGTCATAGTCCCGACTCTCGCCTGACACATCTTGATCTTTAAAGACGATCTCAATTGAGAGGTGGTAATTCTAATGCCACTGGGCAATGATATCTCAATGTAGGTTTCTTCTGGAGCTCCGACCTCCCCCACGCCCCAGCCTAGCACCACCCAGATGTTACGCTGCCATTCATTTGCATTGGTCTTAGCTTGCAAATTTTTTTTTCTATTTTAGGCTCATGCATGTCTCGACAACCATCTCGATGGAATAGAAGCAATGTGGATTACCGGACTACTTCTTCAGTCCCAGGTGAGTACTATGGTTGGTATCTCTCAAGGGTTAAGCCCTCTAACAGAGCAATCGCATCAAAGAAATAACGCAATGAAAAAGAAATAAAGCCCGCCTGGGCTGATGTCCCTGCTCTGCCCTTGGTCCCAGTCAAGGGATTTTCCCCTTTATGTTCATCAGGTAGGGTTGCTGGCTACTTGATGCAGCACGCTGCTGGCCTGTAGAGGCGAAGGTGTGGCAGACTAAACTAACAAAAAGAAAAAAGGGTAACAAGATCAGTAACCTTATAACAGGGCTCACCCACTCTCTTTCTGGCTGGCCCTTTCACTGCAGCAGTTTACCCCGCTCCAGCCGGCATCTCCCAGCTTAACTGAGCTCTTCAGAGCTCCGCAGCCAGCTGGCCACTGGTTCTCCACCGTTGAGGCTGTCCCACTCATCCTCCTGGGTCTTGGGACACAAATCTCCACTCCTCAGCTCACTGCACTCCCCACACTCCCTCACTTCCACTTTTCCATGTTCCTTTTTCTCCCTTCAGGGCTGCTCTAGCCTCACAGAGCAGCTGCTGCAGAATCGTGGCTCCCAGGGGACTCCTCTCCTTCACCAGCTCCTGCTAGTTCTCAGTAAGTATCTTCCTTGTTTCCTCTTCTTCACAACAGTGTTTCTAGATAAAACAATTTATTTACTGTAAAACATAAACATGCCTTTATTTTTGCCTGGGTGAATAACCTGATTAGCCAGCATTCCCTGTATTGTGCATATGTGCTGTGAGGGTGATGTCACAATGGATCCTCAATAACATTCCTGGCAAACATAATAATCATGCATGTTATTGTGCACTTATTCAAAACTTTCCACCTGCGGGGAGCTTAGCACAACCATTAATTGAGCATCCTGACAATGTGGTAAAGTAGGTAAATATCATTATTCCATTTTCCAGATGAGGAAATTGAGGCTCAGAATGCTTAAATGGATTGACATAAGACTCACAGGAAGCTTGGGGCAGAGCAGAGACTAGAACCCAGGTCCTGTGAATCCTAGGGTTGTGCCTTAACCACACACCTATCTTGTTTGCCATCTCTATAAATGCCGCTGTTACCTGAACATTACTACTGAGGTTTGGTACTGAAGGCTTGGGAGGGAGGAACTTAGAGAATAGATTCTGGGGACTGTGGAATCCACCATGACACTACTGGGCTTTTAGGGTGCCTATACACGTGCTTCAGGGTGGGGGTTGTTTTAATTAGGGCGGATCTCAGGAACCATTCTAATTAAAATGCTGCAGTCTCAAGTGTTCAGCATCCTGGATTTCAAAATGGCAATGGGGGTGCTTTAACTAAAGCTCATTCTACGAGCTTTAGTTAAAGCGCCTCTGCCACCATTTTAAAATGCAGGACACTGAATACATGAGACACTGCAGCATGCTGGAGCATTCTGATTAGAGCACTACAGCAGATTAATCAAGTCTTCTCCAATGCATTCTAATCAGAACGTGTAAGAGCACATATAAAAGTACCCTTATTGGCCAGAAATGTCCTGTTCAGATAATGCCAGAGATATGGACCTAAATGACACTGATACCTCCATCAGCTTCAGCTAAGACCTGGGCAAAGACTCAGAATCCATGAAACTGTATTTGGTAGGTCCCTACCCATTACTTATTATCTTTATTTCCTTTCTCTTTTGTTTTCTATTTCTGACTTAGTTAGACAAGGCTTCATTTTTTTCCCCATTGCTGCTATGATTCCATGATTATAGAAGCAGCTAAAAGTGATATATTAAACAGCCCAACACTGGTGTAAGATGCTGATAGGCACAGCACTATTTCTTAGCACTGAGGATGCAAGGAAAAGCCAGCACCAAAAAGGTAAGGTATATTTTCTATCTTTTCTTTTCTCTCCCATTGTGTGTTTGTTTTGTCCTACCTTCAAAGAAGCAAAATGGTATTCTAACAAGAACAGCAAATGCTCTAGTCCATATCAACTAACTTTTTCCCTCCCCAAGAGAGGTGGGAAGTGACAGCTTTAAAAGATTTTTAAAGGGATTTGCTTGCTATCAAGCCAAGCAGGCCAAGGTCTCTGTACTCAAAATCCAGAGCCACATTTAACTGTCTAATGTCTGCATAGGAAGAGCATACGATTTAATACTTGATTCTCTCAACCTATTTATTCCATCAAAATTAAGACAACCTATCCCAATCTCTAATATACATTCCTTTCCTGATTTGTGATTGCTTTCTTAATTCCTGACACTAGCAGTTTTGCTGTTTCAAAATACTACTCTTTTAATTACCTGACTGGACTGACAGGAGTTGAGGGACTCAGCATGAGTCAGCTAATGACACTACAAAAGCCTTTAAATCCAAACTTAGAGCAAGTTTCTTTTTAAGTGACTCAGAACACATTTTTACATTTGTCATGTTAGTGGTCCTGCCTAAAGTGTTTGATATTACTTTGTGGGCACGTCTACATGAGATGTTTACTGCAGAGCTGACTAATCAGCTCTTCAGTAAATGTTTCAGTGTCTGCATGTGCGCCCCTATTGGGGGTGCAAGAAACTAATAAACTCTGCAGCAGGATAATACTTGTAAATACAAGTACTACCCTGCTGTGGAGCTTCTTCATGCGCAGCAGAACACATGTAGACACTGACTCGGCTGGCTAGGACATAAGGGTACTTCAGTGCAGGGGCTGCCTGCCAGCTAATCCCTGCACTGAAACTCCCTTATGCCCGTCCTTCTACAGCACACAGAGCCAGGGGAAGCAACCCCAGGCTGGCAGGCTGACCCCTGGAAACCCCTGCCCACTGGGGCTGCTCTGACCAGACTCCATGTGCTACACATGAATAAACTCTAGAGCTGGTTGCCCTGGATTAATTGCTCCTAGGTGCACATTCAAACAGAATGCCCGGGAGCAAAAAACTCCAGAGCAGTAAGCTCCGGAGTTTATTCATGTGCACTAATGGCATGTGTAAATGTGCCCAGCATCTGCTGGTTTGCTATTTAATTTTTTGTTATTGTAAGGTGATTTGGGACTTAAGAAGGTGTTATTAAAATTGATAAATAGTAAGTATTCTTCATCTTGATGATAGTAATCCACATTGTTCTGTCTTCTCACTCTGAGTGATTGCTACCATAATAGTATGTACTGAAACAACAATATTATATCAACTTAAGATTCTTGCTCACTGATCAAGATAAACAAACTGGAACCATTAAAGCAACTTAAGCTTCTTGCTCACTTATCAGGATAAACAAACTGGAACCATTAAAGCAAGTATGGACCATAAATCCGCTTATGTTCATATTAAATGCGCTTGTCGTTTGGTTCATTGATTTAAACATTTAAACCTGCTCATTGACAACCATCACAGGCTTTGTCACAGTAGAACTTCCCTACAGCCTTTCAGATTTAGGCCTGTCCCTGAAATTGCTAATGAACAGGTGAATTAGAGGTAGCATTTAACCAACAAAGCAGAAGTACTTATTCTTTCAGGGAGTATTTCTTCCTCCTAATACCTCAAAGAATCAGAACACATATGCTCCCTTGTACAGCACATGATTTTCTGCACTGGGAAGCTTGCAGTTGACTCAATAGTTAATGTCATAGAAGAGTTAATGATGATGACCATTGGGTCAGTGAAATGAAATCTCCTAAGGGGCGCATTCTTTTAACTGAGTGGAGTGATTTGAACCAATATTTGGTATAAAGGCAGACAAGGTTCTTTGGGTGAATCTGATATCTTTTATTAGACCAACTTAAATAGCTGGAAAACAATTATTAAGCAAGCTTTCGGGTTCAAAAACCCTTCGTCAGGCTGAGGAAGTTTCAGCAGTTGGTGTGTGCTCTTCCTGGATGGAATGAAAAGTAAAGAAGCCAGAGGCTGGTCTGGTATGCATACAAGACAGGCAGTCAGTGAAAATGTAGACTGAGGAGTCAATGGGTTAGAGACAGGCTTGGGTGGTGGGGGAACAGGCCTGATGGGCAGATGCAGGATTTTGAAAAGGGGAGTGGAGATGGTATGGTGTGTCATCACATATAACAGAATGTATATTTTTCTTCAGGTAAAAGAAACTAGAAGCATGGGACCCAAGAATACATTATGCAATTTAAGATGGAAGCAAAAGAAAAAACTTTATTGGAATGTGCACTAATTTGCTTCAACATATATAATGTTTAACAACACAACAAGGAAAAAATAATTAAAAGGTATGATTTCATTAGGCATGCAGTTACTAGAATTAAATGTACAACTCTTTTTCAGATTCATAAAACGAAATCTAACCTTCTTGAACAGCTTGACAGTGCTTACAGTGTTTCACTGAAAGTTATTTCCGCACCTGCGTCAATATTTTTAGCTAGAGTTAAAAACAGTCCGCAGGGCTGTGAAATAGAAGCTACATTACCAAGAGAAACTAGGAGATAGTGGAATAGCAGAAGAAAGGACAGTTTGATTAGAAGAACTATTAAAGGACATTCAGAAGGAGAGAGGGCCGCTAACACTTGTGGACTGAATAATTTAGAAAATTCAGCAAGATGACAATGAGGCAAAAAGTTAATTAATGCTCTCAGCACTGCCTGAATAGAAATGCTACTGCCCCTCCCAGGCAGTTGGTTTTAAACTTTGTGTGGAGCAGGAATCAAAGGGGGTGCAACTAGATTTGCCCCTAGAAGCAGTTGCTCATACTATAGGTTTTGTGTGTCAATAATGAGCAAGCTGATCAAATCTTGGTGTTATTTCCTTGTGCCTGATCCTGGTCCTTGTATACAAACTGAGTTGTGCTCAGGGACCTATGTGTGACTTGATGGAGATTACAATCTTTCTCCTCTCTGGTGTGGTGGAAGAGCATGGATAACCCTGCAGTCCATCCAAAGATTTTGCTAGCATCTACTACGTAGCCCCTCACCTTTAGGGTGTGGCCAGTGGATTTATGTGCCTGCTCCCAAACCCCCACACTGTACACCTGATGCAGATAAAAGAGTAGAAAGGCTTTCTTCCTGTCCATCTTGACACAGAAGAACCTCACTCATTAAATCAGGGGTGCTCAACCTCCAGCCTGGGGGCCAAATCCAGCCCACAGAGCCATAATATCTGGTCCGTTGGGTTCCCCCACAGGTTAGAAACTTGACATTAGGGAGCAGTGGAAGTTTCATGCAGCCAGTTCCACCCTCGCCCAGGACATTGCCCATGAAGTAGGATCAGGGTAAGGTTACCCCCTGTGCATCCAGACTGGGACAGACTGTTCCTTCACTACAACCCACATGCCCAGGTTGAGGTCGCTTCACCCTGCTATCCCCACACATTAGGATGGGGATTGGGCAGCATCTAGATCAGGGCTGGGCTGCTTTCCTTCCCCCTCCTCTGCCCTGCTCTGCCCTGTCCCTACACCATGCATCCAGACTGAGACTGTGACCAGGACCAGGCTGTTCCCCCAGCATGTATTCAGATTGGGGCTGCTCCACCCAGCCTGTGCTCTGGGTGGCAGGGATCAAGGTTAAGCTGCATGATCCCCACAGCTGGATCAGACCCGTCAACCAGATCCAGTGTGCAGAGGGACCTGGCACCACCCATCCAGCCCACAAGGCAAAAAGGTTGGGCACCACTACATTAAATGATCATAATATAACACTGAAGTTATAACACAAAGCCCCTGGCTTCCCATGGAGGCTGCCTGGCATGGATGCAGGCAACTGGGTCTGGGAGCACTGACACCTCCCCTTGTGAGATTTGGTCAACAGCGGAGGCCCTGGAGTGCCTGAGTAGGGAACTCTAGGCAACGGTGCAATGGCTGTGAACCATTAGAGATGCAGAGCAGGAACTGGACACCTACTTCCAGGCACTCCACCTGACGGCTGACGATGCCTTGGTGGAAACAAAGAACCACCATGAGGTCCAGCCAGGGGTTGCCTGGAAAGAGGTAGTCTGCAGCCCTAGGAGACACTGCACCAGACTGACCGTTCCCCTGGAGCTGCACAACCATTTTGTACCCCTCACAGCAGCTGAGCCAGCTGAACTCCCAGCCCCAACGTGTGAGGAAGGACAGCCATCAACAACTGTGCCCAGAACACACAAAGTAATCGTGGTGGGCAATTCCCTCCTGAGGGGCACAGAGGATGTGATCTGTTGCCTCGACCCCATAGCCCATGAGGTTTGCTGTCTCCCTGGGGCTCATGTCTGTGATGTGACTGAGAGGATCCCCAAACTCATTTGGCCCTTGGACCACCATCCCATTCTACTTATCCATGTGGGCACAAATGACATGGCTCGAAGCAATCCCAGTTGGGTCATGCGTGACTACAGGGCTCTAGGGGCTGGGCTCAAGGGGCTGGGGGCTCAGGTAGTTTTTTCCTTGATCCTCCCAGTCATGGGTCACAGGCCCCAGGGGAATTAGTGCATCAGTGAGGTGAACAGAAGACTCTGGCGATGGTTCCATCATAAGGGGTGTGGCTTCTTTGACCACACTCCACACTTCAGTGAGAGAGGTAGTAGACTGTTGGGAAGGGATGGCCTCCAACTCACCTGGAAAGGGAAGAAGCTTTTCTCAGCCAAAATGGATGACCTACCTGGGCTTTAAACTAAGATTGCTGAGGGACAGAGAGAAAATCAACAGTTCTAGGCCAGGTTATGCCAATCACAGTAGTAACAGCATAGGTAGCCCAAGGGAACCCACTCTGAGAGCCCAAGGAAAGGTTGTGTCCCATCACATAAGGAAGCCTAGGGCTTCTCATGGCAGACTCAACTGCCTGTAGACAAATGCCAGGAGCTTGGCTAACAAGCAGGAGGAGCTGACCTTCCTCCTGACTGATAAAGATTATGATCTTGTAGGGATAATGGAGACCTGGTGGGACTCTTATGACTGACTGGTAGGTATAGAAGGCTATACCCTCTACAGGAGAGATCGTGTTGGGAAGAGGGATGGGTGTGTAGCTCTCTACGTCAAGGAGCAGTACACTTCCCTTCAAACTGAGTTCATTAACTATGGAGGGCATCTTGAGACCCTCTGGGTTAAAATATGTGGGGAGCATGGGGAAGAGGATATACTTGTAGGAGTATATATGTCCTTCCAGACATCTTGTGGAAGAGCACACAGCCAAGTCTGACTGGTCGCGTAACTTTCTCACCTGCATTGACAACTTGTACCTGATGAAAGAAGTCTACAGGCCAACTAGGGGGGAGGCACTGCTGGATTTCATTCTGGCCAAAGGAGATGATCTGGTGAGTGATGTGAGAATTGAGGGCAAGCTTTGTGACAGTGACCATGAACTGATTACTTTCTCTGCCCAATGCAGGGTGGGCAAATCCCTCAGTAAAACAGAAATCCTCAACTTTGGAAAGGCTGACTTTCACAAACTCAGCACACTGGTCAGTCAGGCACTAAGGGACCATGGCCCCCTAGGAAGGGGAGTCCATGAGAAATGGTTGTTCCTAAAGAACTGAGACCTCAAAGCACAAGGGAAGTCTATCCCGTCCCACAGGAAATGCAGTCAGAGAGCAGAGAAGTCCCCGTGGCTCAACAGGGAACTTCTGGGTCTCCTGAAACTTAAAAGAGAAGCCTATACCAGATGGAAAACTGGAATCATCACCAAGGAGGACTATTCAGCACTAGTCTGTACCTGTAGGGAGCAGTCCAGAAAAGCCAAAGCAGTAACCTAACTCTGGATAGCCACTGGAAACAAGGATAACAAAATGTCGTTCTTCAGATATGTGGGAAGTCAGAGGAAGAACAAAAGCAACATTGGCACCCTGTGAAAATAAATGGGGTAGCTGATGTCTGATGCCCAAGGCCAATCCCCTAAATGATTACTTTGCATCAGTTTTCCACCTGCCCAAAGGGGTCACACTGTTAGGATGCAAAGCATCCAGATCTTGGGAAATAGGCCCACAGTTGAAGTAGATCAAGTGAGAGAACACCTCAAGAGGCTTGACATCCATAAGTCTGCGGGCCCAGACAGATTGCACCTGAGAGTCTTAAAAGAGCTGGCAGACATCATAGCATGCCCTATGGCCAAGATATTTGAAAGCTCATGGTGTTTGGGTGATGTAGCGGAAGCCTGGAAAAGAGCCAACGTGGTCCCAGTCTTCAAGAAAGGGAGGAAGGAAGATCCAGGGAATTACAGACCTATCTGTCTGATGTTCATCCCTGGAAAGATCTTGGAGAAAACTATCAAGAGATCCATCTGCAACAGGCTAATGGAAGGCAATCTACTGAATGCCAGCCAACATGGTTTTATTACTGGAAGGTCTTGCCTGACCAACCTCATCTCCTTCTATGACCAGATGACTCATTGCCTAGAGAAGGGAGATGGGGTTGCTGTCATTTATCTGGATTTCAAGAAAGTCTTTGACTTGGTTTCCTATGATGTCCTCATGACCAAGCTGAGGAACCGTGGCCTCAACCATCTCATGGGCTGATGGCTGGGGAACTGGCTCTGGGGTTGGATCCAAAGGGTAGTAGTTGATGGGAACAAATCAATGTGGCACAAGGTTACCAGTGGAGTCCCCCAGGGCTCAGTGCTCGGGCCAGTACTCTTCAATATTTTCATTAATGATCTGGATTTGGGAGTCAGACGTGGACTGGCAAAGCTCGCGGATGATGATAAACTATGGAGGAAGGTGGTCACACTGGAGGCAGGCTGGAGATACAGGCCGACTTGGACATGCTTGCAAAGTGGGTGGACCAAAACCTGATGACTTTCAACGTAGATAAATGCAGGGTACTCCACCTTGGGAGAAAAAACCAGCATAATACATATAGACTTGGCAGTGCTACGCTTGCTAATACTGGAACCAAAAGAGACTTGGGGGTCTTGACTGACCGCAAGATGAACATAAGCCGCTAATGCTATGCTGTGGTCAGCAAAGCAAAGCAAACTCTGGCATGTGTCCACCTATGCATCTCAAGCAAAACCAGGGATGCCATCCTCCCAATTTACTCGGCCATAGTGAGGCTGCAGCTGGAGTACTGCATCCAGTTTTGGCCCCCCCACTTCAGGCAAGATGTGGACAAGCTCGAGAGAGTCCAGAGGAGAGCCACCCATATGATCAAAGGCCAAGAGAGCAAACCTTAAGGGGAGAGGCTGAGGGACATGGAACTCTTCAGCCTGGTGAAGAGAAGGCTCAGGGGGGACTTGGTAGCTGACTATAAGTGTATAAGGGGGCTGCATCAGGATCTGGGAGAACAATTGTTCACGAGGGCTCCCCAAGGGAT